CCTCTGAGACACAGCTAACATGTGCCCAAAACACTGGGCACTGAGGGAATACATGAGAGACTGCTGCAAGCTGACCTTACATACCCAAGGCCTCCTGCTTCAAAGAGCATTTGCTTGGAGGCACGCAGTGCACAAGGGGCTGGTGGAGGAGGTAGCGATGACACCATCAGGTGAAAGAGCTCTCACTCAGCTACAGACTATGGATACCTAGGGGGTTTGTTCACTCAGTAATTTTCCTTTATTCTGCTTTGCCACAGAAGCAATGTAAGCATCCCAGCTAAGCAGGAATGAAGCACTGTAAGCTTAAAAACAGCGGAAGGGTAAAAAAAGGACTTCTGAAGCTTCTGTTTCTTCCCCACTTACACACTAAGAACTTTTTTTCCTAGGGCAGGAAGCTGGATCTTTTAAGAAGAGTATTTGGAGCATAAATTTAAATATGGAGACCCAATCTAGATTTGCATGAAGACACCCCAGAGTACCATCTCATTGTAAAAACTAAGAATGGAGGAGCCATCTAAATCCATCCCATTACAGACACAGAATAGGTCCCTACAGGATATTTACGAGTTTTTAATGCCTTGGCCTTGTGCCTCACATGCACCAGAGACATACTTTTAGGCAAATAAAACATCTATTGTCATGGCTTAATGCTGTAAGAATTAATTTATCACTAATTATTTCCTCTTCTGAAGCTCTGCTCTTTGGATAGCTGTGACATAATTCTTAAAAATCACACTAGCTGAAGAGCAGAAGTAAACTGTCCCCTCCAGCTCCCTGCCCATGAAGGCCAGCTATTCAAATGTTTCTCTTTTCCCAGTTTACTTTCAGCTCTTACAGTTGACAAGGGGCCAGAAACACTGATCACGGGCAGTGCTGGGGAGAATGGCTTTAGTCCTCTTCTGCTCCTGCCTGTGTATCCTCAGACCAAGGGTCTGCTGGAGGCTGGGAAAGGCTTTCCCTGCATGGCTGTACCATCCAGGTTAGAAAAGGGTGCACCTCTTTGGGCTTCATCACAAAGCTAAGTCTGAATGAAGACAAAGAAAGGCCTGAGAAAGTAAAGGTGAAGTCTTGACTTAACTGAAGCCTAAGGAAATACTATTTCACTTTAAATGAGTCTCTGTCTCTCTCACTTGCACACACTCCCAATGTAAGTGATTTCATCTTTCAAAGTTGAAGGTCAGCCATTTCAATGGTGTATTTTTTCCACAGCAAGTCACAGTTTCTGCTCTCCTGGCAGATCTGCACAATCAACATACTAAATAAGCCACAAAAGCAAGGGAATTTGAAGTTATTGGACGCTTTTATTTTAACGTAGCACCCAGCTCCGTATCACACACATTTTCCAAAATTAGATAGGCATAGTAGAGAACACTATGCATTTTGCAGCTTACCATGTGGACAGTCTGCAGCTGTGAAAACAAATTGCTTAAATCTGGTTATCTACTTTATAAGTTAAAATTCAAATATATACTAGCCTCCGGGTATTTTTTTCTTTTTAGATTAACAGTGATAATGCTTGCAATACAATTTTTTATATATAAAAAAATCAGTAACAGAGTAAAACATAATGCATATGTTCATAGCACATTATCATGAAGATAACTGAAAAAAGCTTGAAAATACATCATCTCTTCTTGAAGGTACTATATCACTTCATTTTTTTTCCTGAAAAAAATACTTCCACTCTTTAGTCAATAAAATACATAGCTTCATGAGCCTGTGTATTTTCTTGTTAAGAACTGTGTGTGCTGAAGGCCAAAGGGCTGATGGTCCTGGAAAATGGACACCCATCATTCCCTGACTCGCAACTTCTACAGGCTCTCTTTAGTCCTGATCTGGAAGTTCAACTGAGAGGAAAGCAGCTTATATACCATCAAAAGGCAATTTTCCTATCATGTCCATCCTGAATGCATCATGGGAGGGATTCCAAGACCTGGCCATCCCACTTGGGTCATTTTACTGTGCAAGTTGTCACCACCCCATACTGGTTAGCCCAGGCAGTATCAAGGTGGGACTGTACGGATGATAGCCAAACCAAGTTCCTCTCTCCAACGCAGATACAGAATTCCCAGCAGCAAAACTATTGCCACACATGTGAAAACAGTCTGATAATCTTTTGAGTTAAAAAGAATATTCACCAATTTACCAGTAAGAGGGATGAATCCACTAATCACTGACATTTTGCTATGTCACCAAAACTCTCTGGAAGACAGAACGGAGAGCTGTCTGGAAAGAGGTGGTAATGTTTCCACTGCATCCTACTATAAAATTAATAACTAGAAGGACATTGATCATTGAGGATTAATGTTTGCTCACAGGCAATTTGTTTAAAGGAATGCCTATGAAATGAATGGAAGCTGCTTGCCTTGCTTAATTACCAGGTCATTATTTATATGTAAAGGCTCAAATAAAAATGGCTTGATCTACAAAGGCAACCAGTCACTACACTTAGCAGGGCATTTTTCTTTTTTCATCATGGAATTACCATGTAGTGAAACAAATATTTCACGGAAAGATACCAGGTGATATGAACATTAACAGATCCATGAAGAAATGCCTCATCAAAAGGAAGACATGTGAATGCACATTTACACACACACTGAGGAAGACCCTTATCTGTTCTGCCTAGTCTTGTCCTGCAGACAAAAATATTATCCAAACCAGAATAGCTGCAGTAAATTGAAGATTTAGAAGGGGCCCCAGGTTGACGGTCAGCGCATCCTCTTAGATGCAGGGAAGCTGTGCCAGCTCATGCCCCCACTTATCCTCTCTTGCTGGGCATGTTTTGTCCTGCCGAAGTACCTACAGAAACCAGGAAGTGAGAAGAGTTGAGTCCTCACTTGTGGGAAGCTGCTCTCATTCCTTGGTCAGGCAGATCCTAGATGCTGTCCTGGGTTAGGCCTGCCAGGGGCTTCAAGTTAATTGCTCTCCTGTAGCTCAAGAAAGTCCTCTGAACACTGGCAAACTGCTTGTGAAGTTCTCCCTTTCTGACCAGATGGTCTGTTTGCGTCTAGGAGGATCTCCTATCCAGCATTTCAGAAAGTAAAGGTTTCTGCAAGAAATGATCATTTTGTTGTACCCACATTTTTCCAAAGGAAAACTATTTTTTGAGAGAATCTGTGAAACTGGATTCATATGTGAATTTTGAACAGCCAGGATTTGTTCATAGTAGCCATGAGTGTGGCTGCATGGAGCAACTGCCAGAAGCACTGCCTATAGGTTCATAGTGCATTCTTCTCCCTCTCAAAATGCTAACAGCCTCCCAAAACCAGTCACACTTTCTCATTGTGCATGGGTTATCATGAATGCTTAAGTACCCAGACATACAGAAGAGTTAACTTCCTGCATCATATGTATAACCCACCAACATTTCTCCTTGAATATTGTGCTTTACTCTCTCTGCGAAGTAGTATATGATCATCACAGACAAAATTCCATCAAAGAGAATACAAATTAGCTCACTCTAGGCCTTGAAGCTGAGTGGGACATTTGAATGCAAAAATGGAGGAATATTTAAAATTTTTAATGTATTAAGTCCTGTGGTAGAATAACAACTGAGCAAATATTTCACTGTTGTCTAACCAGGTATCCTAATTTCCAGTGAACAAAAAAACTGTATTATTTGAAGGGAAACATTTGAAAAAAGACATATAAAGCAGACTTTTCCACTCTTCCTTTGAAAAGCGTCTATTCCATGAATAACACAAGTGAAATACATGGGGGATTCTAAAAGATGTCCCTATGAAACATGAGAAAGTCTCCACTGCCTTAAAAATGCAAGGTGCACAGTTCTTTGTAATAATGGAAAAGCTTTCCTTTAAAAATCACTCTTAAAAGAAAAACATGCCATATGGTTTTTTTCCTATTGAATAGTAGGGGTTTATTAACCAAATGACAATGTAAGACCTAGAAAGCAAACAGAGCAAATGCTTAACTTCATTAAAGATTCAGGAATGAAGCGTGACCAGCAGGTCGAAGGAGGTGATCCTGCCCCTCTACTCTCCTCTCGTGAGACCTCACCTGGAGTTTTGTGTGCAGTTCTGGTGTCCTCAACATAAAAAGGACATAGAACTGTTGAAACAAGTCCAGAGGAGGGCCACGAGGATGATCAGGGGACTGGAGCACCTCCCATATGAAGATCGGCTGAGAAAATTTGGGCTGTTCAGCCTGGAGAAGAGAAGGCTGCATGGAGACCTCATAGCAGCCTTCCAGTATCTGAAGGGGGCATATAGGGAGGGATGCTGGGGAGGGACTCTTCATTAGGGACTGTAGTGACAGGACAAGTGGTAATGGGCCCAAGGGAGTTGTGAATGCTCCATCCCTGGCAGTGTTCAAGATGAGGCTGGATGAAGCCTTGGGTGACATGGTTTGGTGTGACGTGTCCCTACCCATGGCAGGGGGGTTGGAACAAGATGATCTTAAGGTCCTTTCCAACCCTAACTATTCTATGATTCTATAACTGTTATGAAGATAGAAAATAAATGGTAACTTCTGAACAGTACCACTATTGATAAGAAGACAGCAGGTCCTTTGCAGCTTCCCAGAATAGTCTGCAGTTCTCACATTCTATCATAGACCAGGAATGACTGCCTGAACCCAGGTAACAGCTGCACATAAGTCCCAAATCCAGAGAAACGGTTGTTGCTTGTCGACAGAGTGATGTTTAGTTGAATCAAAACCAACATGTTACAAAAACAGATTTTTAGTAACAATTCTGCAAATGCTTATTTTCACCTTCAGAATTCTGGATCCATGTCCCACATCCATACCGCTTTCAGCAAGAGTAAGCTGTTTCCTCATCACTTTAAGCATTCCCATTGATGTCTGCCTTATCTTTCAACAAAATGTTTAGCTGCTCTGTAGTCCTCCGATACCCCTCTGCAGTCTTTCTGTGATACACCCTGAAGGAAGGATACCCAGTTACTTCAAACACACTTCTTCCTCTCAGCCCCAGAGCCATCCTGTTGCTTTCTCCCTACAGCTTCACACCAGCAACAGTAAAAACCTTTGCCATCATTTCTGCAAGGCAAACTTGTACACTTAAATCAGGTCAGTGAACAACAGGACATGAACACCTGCAGCATCACATTTAAGATGGATAACAAGTAAGTGACACTCTTTTGCATTGAAGTACACATCATATCCATGGTGGGAGCACGGCTAACATCGTTATGTCTGAAGTCACCCCATCTAAGAGCGCTGAGCCAGCTTCCATTGCCAGAACTGAGACCGAAGCCAAGGACCACTGCATCCATGGAAAAATCCTCATGGGATTCAGTTTGCTCTGGATCAGCTTAAAAAATAATCACTGCTTCTTCATTTAGAAAATAGATGGGCATTAGCAACTTCACCCTATCAGCAGCATCTCCAGCGAGGTACAAAGGAACCTTAATGAAATCCTGTTGTAGAAGGCAATTATTTCCATCACACTTTTTGTAACCTCATGTATAGCACTTTTGCTATCTTTCTTCTTTTGGAAATACAGTTCTTGTACACATCCTTAGAACAGATGAGCAGCTATTAAGACAAAGCAGACTAATACAAAGGTACATACAATAGCTTTTATAAAATGTCCCGAATGCATTTTGAACCTCTTGTTAGAAATACAGTTGGTTAAAAAAAAAAAAAGTAAAGAAAAAAAAAGCTATAAATCAGTGATCTCCGACATGCTGAAAGTATGCAGAGACACTGGTAGTTGCAAGCAAGTGATCAAACACTAGTCGAGAGGAAACAGTTACAGCTCAAAACCCACTCTTTTTTGGTAATTACCAAAATAATTATATTTTTGTATTTTTCACTGTTCTCTGATATGATTTGAACTTATAAAATACAAGTTCTCTAACATTAAAATACATCCATGATTGCATAATAAACAGTACTAAGAAAATAATTATCTGACATGTGATTGCAGATAAAGACTCTATATCTAGTGAGTTTTAATCCTGTAGCATATTAAACTCACAGGAACTCTACCATGATACAATCCTACATGAATCAGTAGCATCCAATAGCCCGCCTCAGAGAAATAAGTTTTAAATGTAAGCAAGAATCCAGGAACACTGTACCTCTCAATGAACTGGGGCAGGAGGTGCTCACAGAACATGTATAAATCAGTAATTCTTTACATAAATAAAATACTCTCAGGTTATTCATTTCAGTGATAAACTGCATTTACACGTTAGACTGGGAAGAGGGAGGAAAACAGGCAAAGCATCCCTCAGCTCAGAAACATCCAGCAGTCAGATATTTATTTTCTGTACCTTCTTCATCTGCAAAGGCAATTGCGTGACGTGGGGTGAAGGGAGACCCAACAAGCCGGTCCTCCCCCACCATCACCAGCTTGGCAGAAACCTTGCTTGGCCCCACCAGGCTCCTCTTCTTGCAAGGCTGCTGGGACACATGCTCTGCTTTTGCTGCTGCATGGCAGTGAGGGAAGTCACAAGACTGTGACAGGACGTAGCTGCTCCAGCTGCGTTTCCAAGGCAATTCGTTCCTTGTGAACCTCCTGCAGGACAGAGAGATGTGCTATAACTTCTGGGATGCTCACATGCCCCACTGCACTCCAGTGAAAAGCATCCAGGCAAACCAATGGCACTGACTGGAGGCTTCAGGCTCTGCTGTGAAGTAATTCTCCTTGTGGTCTCAAAACACTGTACTATTGCCACACAATCACCCTGCACAGCCATCTAGTGTCTCCTCCTTACAGTGGAGCAATACTTGTTTGGACAATCATGGAGAGAAGCAGTCATCCAATACCTTGGGATGAAAGGAAGCTGGCCACAAATGGCTATTTTTACCAAAGAAAATCAGGTTATCTTGAAATCACATTTCCCTCAAAACTGCTTTCTGAGAATTTCTGGTTGACACAACTAATCTCTTTCCTTTTGGAAATGACAGCCTTTCTAAGACAAGACAGGTTTTGCAATCTACCTCTTTGACAAGTTATGGAGGAAGATTATCTGCCTCAGTCAGAAACTAACTGTGAAGGCTTTGGGAATCAGTGATTTTTGGGAAAGCCTTTCCTGGTCTCAAGGCTGGCCCTACACTGAGGGACATTCATAAAAACAGCAAAGCCCTGCTCCATCAGAAAGCTTTCAGGCAGCAATATGACTTAAAGGACAAATTCAGTTTTCTGCTCTCGAGTGAATTTAGGCAAATCTCTGTCTTTCTGTGCCTCTTCTACCCTGCTGTAAAATACAGGTAACAGCACTGGCCTGCTTTGTGAAGGTCAGAGAATACTGAAGATAGTGCATGGAAGCAAATAAGATCTGAGCCAAGGAATAACAGCAGTGTGCTGTCATTAAAAGTTTTAATCTCCATGCTTATTTCAATTGCTCTCCTATATTTTGCGATGGGTTCAGTACAAAGCATCCACCCTGCTTCTCTCTCAGGAGATCCCTAAAAAGCAGTTAAAAATTATGTTAAATAAAGTTTAATATGCAATCAAATTTTCACACTGACTGAACTGGGGGTTCACCTCTCTTTCCAATCAAGTGCCCATTCACAATATACAAAGAAGAAAAAGCTGTAGCTGATCAAAAACTAAAGCCTGTATTAGCCTTCAACTGAGACAACAGAAAAATAAGAACTGATATTTAGATTTTTAAGAACTGTGTTCAGCTCTAGGGCCCGCAACATACGAAGGATGTGGACCTGTTGGAGTGAGGCCAGAGCAAGGCCACAAAGATGACCAGAGGGCTCTAACTGCCAGTGGAGCTGCAGGCCCATAGGCTATAACTTTTCCCAGAAAGCCTCATCCGACCCACTCATACAGCATACTTATTGCCTTCCAGAAAGCAGGAAAGTAACGCAGCAGGTCTCATCTGAAAGGATGAACAAGATTCTCTGCTAGGGTTGACACATAACTGATTTTAGAGAGCTTTGTCACCAGTTTTCAATGCATTCCTTACCTTCAGCTGCTGCTGGAGCTCACTGTTCAACCTGGCGAGCACAGCATTGGCTTCTTTGTTTTTTCGTATAGCAGTCTGAATAGCCCTTTTCTGCTTGGAAGACTGTCTGCAAGACAGATAAATACAAAATGTTTCAATTAAGAGCCTCAGTAGTGGCTGATGCCAGAAGATCAGCCATCCATTTTGCATGCCTGTACTCTATATACACTGGGCTACAGCTCTAGACACACTGGACTACACTTCAAAGACAAGGTACAAACTACAGATTGAAGAGAAGAAAAATGTAAGACTGAAATGAATCAGGTAGACTATTTGAAAATAAAATATAGGCTATAAGGTAATAAATTATAGGAAAAACAATTAAAAACAGGGCAATATATGTCTGTGGTCATTTAAACATTTTAGGAAAGATATAGCGAAAGCAGGATTAAGCTGAAGCGTGAACAATGCTATTATCTTTCTTTGAACCACTAGCACTAATTTAGAATATGCACTCCCTAAGCACAAAATAGCACTTTAAGAGCATTCTAGGAGTCTTACTACTTATTCCAATCTCCAATTATGCAGCACAGATTCAGACTACTGATAAACAGTTTGCTAAGGGCTGCTCAATTGATTTGGGCAGGTTGGTTTTGTTTCAGACTGAAGCAGATGTCTTTACAAGCTTTTGGTGAAGATGGGCTATAATGTTTGCACACTTTCAGCTGAGGGAGATGTATAGATCCAATAGGGCATCAAGTGCCTTCATTTACCGTTTGTACAGCCCCTTCTCCACTACCATTAAATAAATATATAGTGAAATACCTACAAGACTTTGCTGCGGACATCTTCAACAGCTATATTTATGAGAGCAACAATTTGGCAATCATTGTTTATCACAAGTAGTCTATGGCTCAGCTCATACCACCGGCAAGCTCATTTCCAATCTGCCTTGCGATGAAGAAACATCACAAAGATATGACCAACATCAAGCACTTCGTGACTCAGTTTCCTGGACATTTCTCTGGTTCTTTCTGTCTATATGAATGAGGAAAACTTTAGAAGATATACGCAAGGAAAAAAAGCACATCCACAGATCTAAAAGAGGTTGTGTGAGAGATGCTGGTTGAATAGCTAGGTTTGCTCTGCAGACATGTCTACAACATACAGAGGTAAAACACCTTTGAAGAGGCTATCAATCAAATATTTCCAACTTAAACAGTCACCATAGACTTAGTTTGCGTTTGAGAAGACACATGTAGATGTCAGAGGTCTGCATCTTGTGAAGCACTCTCAAAAGCAGAACTATTAAGCACAAAATCATGTGAAGAGCAAACCAGCCATATCAGATCTCATGGCGCAGTTCGACGTGCTTGGTACAGGTTTTTACTTTTGGACTGGGAGGTGAGGCTTGACTGCTGGTGCAGAAGAAGTCACATTTATAGTGGGAGAAAGCTCAGGGGTCTCCAGCCCCTGTGCCTCTGCCCGGAGCTTCCTGCGGGTGGGTTTGGAAGGCGGCTGAGCAAGAACAACCTCCTGCAAGGAAGAAACACATCAACATTTAGTCAGGCCATATGTGTCCCATCATTAGGCTGGGGAATACTTGTGACACAGAAATTGTTGACAGCTGGCCTACGATTTCATAATTTAAAGAGGTACAGAGCTTAATTCAGATTTAGTAATAGCCTCTCAGGTTTCTGACTTTGAAAAAGGAACAATAACTCCTGCAACCCCTTAATGAATGAAATGATTATACTGGTGTTTTGTCTTCATCTAGATGACAGGCTTTTCAGAACTGGATTGTATAGCTCTGTGTGCAGCTTATTACCTCACCCATACAGCATGGAGACTCTGCCTGCTTCCCTCCTCTCTTACATGAAGCAACACTGAAAACAGCTTAGGAAGACAAATGTATAAAATTATCCATGCAAAATTAACATGCTGGAAGTATAGAAAGCCAGCTATTTCTCTTGATAAGCTACATCAAAGAAATAATCTGGTTTTTAGGTAAAAGAAAGTGTCTTGGATTTTTAACAATCCAGTAGTAAGAAGTGTTTTCATTATTTTAAATTAAGACATCCTTTCTTTTGCAATAAGAAGCCGTTTTAATGCCTTATATCTGTTTTAAATCTGAAATATAAATATATTCTTTCCAGTGCATTCTATTATTAGCACTCTTTTACAAGGAATATAACTATTACTGCCCCATTTCATGAATGAGAAAGCTAAGACTTAAAAGGATGAAGTGACTTGACAAAGGTGTCAGTCACAGACCGGAGACCAAATTTTATTATCACTTCAAGAGTGTACGTTTTACTGGGCCAGACTTTCTTCCTTACATATGTTAATTTCAGAAAAAAAAAAAAATAAAGAAAAAGGAAGCATTTAATGACTTAGCAATCATAAGGAGAAAAAAAACCAACAAAACCCCAACACTGTAGTAAGCAGCCTCACTCAGCAGAAGAGACTAGTATGAGTGATACAGGATGAAACCAACATAAGACCATCAATAATGAGTATTAGAGGGATTACAATTATTAGAGGAAGTAGAATTATAAGGAAACAAGGGATTTCAACATTAAAAACCAGTTCTGCCTTTATTGGAAAAATCTAAAAACACTATTAGATTTTTGGTCAGGATGTCAGCATACCAGCACTGCACAGATCTCAGGGAATATAATACTCTGAAATCCTAAGCATATGTGCAGCTCCTGCAAACGTACCACGTATGGCAAGTGAGGAACTTGCATAAGCCTTCAACAACTATACACTGGCTAGGTGCCAAATACATTACCCCAGTCTATCATAAACTGCCAAAAACCTAATAAAACCCATAGGATAAGTCCCTCTTCCATTTCAAATGCAATATTGGAAGAAATACCTAAAAAATCCAATACCTAAAAGCAGAATCCTCCACAAGGACTCTTTGGCTGGCTGCTGTTGCACCAGCCTGTGGAAGGTGGGTCAGCACTAAGCCAACAACGTGCCTCCTGAGCCTCACAGGCTGGAGCTTCTCTGTATTTATGGATCCAGATGGGGTGAGGGCAACCAGCAAGTAGGTGGACCACAAATATTTCATTTCCCCAGCAGGGCTGCAAAGCAAGGCAAGGAAGAAGCAGGGCCAGGCTAAAAGTAGCATGCAGTTAGCACAAACAGATCAAGGATGCTGCTCGGAAAGCCCTATCATATATAGGAAATTACGCTGGACATTTGTCTGTGCCCCCCATTAAGGTAAGAAGTGCGATAACTCTCCCTGTCAAAGTACATACTACATACAGCACCTGCCAACAGTTCTCGATTGGGCTGAGCAAAGGTCTTACAGGTGCTTCCTGGCTGCCAGAGAGGAGAGGATCTGAGGGCAGATCTGTGTAAACCTGTTCTGCCTGGGACTGGAATATTCCTTCTGGGTGGAAGGAGGCAGCAGGATCGTGCCAAGAACGGGAAAATGCTCACAGACCACTTTATCCCTAAGCAAGGCCCTCTGAAGAGCATCACTGCAATTTACACAAATGTTCATACAAAAACATACTAGAAACCGCACATCTTGAGCAAAACTCTCCCAGTCTATGTACATTTAGTGGCAGATCCTGACCTCTAGCAAACGGGTGTGTTTACATCAAACCCAAATCCTCAGTAACTGGAAGCAAGAAGTGCATCACAAACGAGATGGGGGTCGAGCACAAACTCTTTATTTTCTTCCCTAAGGCTCCACAAGTCCCTATTGATTTGAAACAAATGGCGAGCTGCCTCTCTTAAAGCACATGCATCAGTGTGTGTGTAACGAGAGCTTTCTTAATGATTTATCTGAGCTGATGTCACACGCGAACCCAGCTCCCTCTAGCACCTTGACCTCCAGATAAGGTAAACATGTAAAATTTGTGACCCCAACCCTCTGTTTAATTGCTTTAAAACTTAAAACAACCACATTTGTTGATGAAGACAAACCACTCCACAATGGTACAATGTGTGCAGGTCTCACCTTTTTTGCTGAACTGTTTTCTTCTGCCTGCACCGGAGGTCTATTCATCTGAGGATGTAATTCAACCTCAGATGGTTGCTCTGTCTGCAACAACAAGTCAGTCATTGCTACACCCAGAAAATGAGTAGCAGTCATATACAATAAAGTCAATGAAAGGAAACGTTACACACAAAAGAAAAGGTATTTTAACAATTCAGCAGCAGGGGAAATGGATTTAGGGTGACAGCTGAATGGATGACATATGTATTTTGCAGATTTTTAATGAAATGGTTTTCTTGTATTTTATAGTGCTAGGAAAACAAGAGAAAAGTTTTTCTGTGAAAAAACATGTCTCTGTAAATGATCTAATACCCAGAATTTCTTCTAGAATTACTCTTATGGTCTAAATAATCAGAGAAGAAGAGGTAGATAAAAGCTAGAAAGACTTTGGATGTGCCCTTTCACCTTATTATCTCCTGACTGATGAAAATTCATTGCAGTAAGCCTTTGCCTTTAAAGTTTGCAAGTCTAGAATGAGAAAGCTGGAATTATACCAAAAATCCCAGGAAAGCTTCTGAAAACACAAGTCATAAAAGAAGCCAAATAAGTTTTCCCTCCTTCCTTCTCACCTTTCAAACAGAAACTGAGCTCAATGCTCACCACACAGGTCTGCGCTTCTGCAAAAAAGAATACTCTCCCACTAGCATATCTGACCGAGCAGCAAATTAAAACACAGGGTTAATCCCTTGCTTTGCCTCTTCTGAAATCTTTCCACATCTTTCCATGTCCTTCACCAGGGCAGGGCACAGCACACCAGCAAAGGGAGGGCAGCAAGATTTAGACCTGCCTGCCCCTGGGTGTGCAGCAGCAAACGCAGTATAAACACTGTGGCTGTTTTCTGTCCAGAAGATATGCGCTGGCTCTCCCAGAGGGGAAAGGCAGGCAAGAGCAGGAGGCTGAGGGCAGCTGGCACTGGCAGACTTCTCCTCTTTCCCAACTCTACCAAGTTGGAGCCACACTGGCAGCAGCCTCCAGGCAACCCAATGTACAGCTCCTTCCTCAAAAAGGCACATTTCTCAGAGGTGAAAGCCTGCTTTTAAAATCAAGTTCAGGGTAAAGCACAAACTTTTAAGGGGCCAGGATTATCCAGGGTTTAACCATAAGGCAAACAAAAATGACAACACAGAATTTGGCGTACTTAAACAGGAGTAAGAACTGTACAGTAAGATGCAGGGGAAACGTGGTTCTCTGTCAGGTTACTGCTGCTCTCCACCCATATGGCATTGCACATGTGCACAGAGGAGGGAGATTTGAGATCTTTTTTAAAGACACATATGTAATTCCTTGGGAGAGGAGGAAAAGGTTTTGGCTGACAAGATTTCTCTCCCCCCTTTTTTGAGTATGCTGTATCTGTAGTGTTATGTGATGGTTAGAAAAATAAAACCTTACCCTGTAATTTTCCAATATTTTAGTATCAATATCCTAAATATTGGGGCTTTAATAACTATTGGATACTAAGATTTGAATTCTGGAAAGCTTTTCATGGGTTGATGTAATGCTTCTGTAACTACATTTGTGGTACGAACAGGAGAGTGAAATGGAAAAAGCCATCTTTTTTTTCTGTCTACAAAAATCAAAAACCTTTAAAAGTCCATTTAATGCAACAGAGCATTTCTTTATCAGCAACCTGAATAGCCTACAATCTCTGCAATTTCTACATCCACTTTTTATGTATTTGAAAGAAATGAAGACTCTAAGCACTGTAACAGTGACCTGACAAAGTCCACAGGGCTTTCGTGAATGATTTGGGGATAGGAAAGCTCAAATACCCAACAGAGCCACACAATACATTTAGGCCCAAACAACATCACTTTGACAAATCATTCATTTAGGGACAGAAAGAGTAAACATAGTCTTTCAAAGAGCCACATAATATACATATTATAAACTTCTCATGGCACAGCTTTGCTGCACAACACAGAGCAGTAACAGAGGAATACGAGAACCAGCTCTTGATGACCTTTCTTGGACAGGGAGCACTAGATACCCCCCTAACCCAGGCAGGTGGGCAGTTTCTGGTGCTCACGCTCTTGTCGGAATCTACACTACACCTTGCATGGAAAGCAAGAATGTATCAACTTACTCCACAGAATTAAAAAGAATGGAGACCAACCCCATGTTACTTGCATATAGACAAAATACAGTTTTTCAAGAACCAATGTGTTCGAACAGTGTAGATGTAACTAAGTATCATGGCACTCTACAGTGACAATTGCAAACAAGCAGGAAAATTGAAATGACCGTAAGGTAAAGGACCTAGAAAAGAAAAACAAAAACAACTCCCAAACTTTTGCAGGAACACCCACATTATTCCCTCACCTCCCTTTTTTTTTTTTTTTAATGGTCTCATTGAGGAGGATACTGTTTTAAACTGAAGGGAACTGAAAAGGCGGAGGGGGGAGGGACACAAACTTTTATGTGGAAGCAAATACAAATCAGAGTGCTGATGCCAAAAAGTGCAAGATTTCAAAATTTCCAACAGCTTGACATCACTGTTCCTACTGATGCAAGGCATGTCTTTTCACTAGCTAAGTGCTGTGATGTGGCTGTCAGCCTAACAGCTGTGGCAACCGCTGTGCTGCAGGGCTGCAGTATGCGCTGCCAGGACATGAGGACAGCAAATCTCAGCAGCCAGCCAGGCAGGGGATGGCTGGACCAGGCAGGTGGCAAAAATAAATAAGTGGTTACAGTTAAAAAAAAAAAAAAAAAAAAAGGAAAATAAACCCAAAACCCAACTAGTTCTGGTGATGCAGCTCATGCATAATGAATAAAACCAAGTGACTGCCGTGTCCCTAAAGTGCCACCTAGTGGCATGTGCGACAGGCCATTTCTGAGATCTCTGCTTAGGGCAGAATACAAAAAGCCCGCTGTCTGCATTATTCAGAGTCTGCAGATTGAACCTGGTCGGCAAGGTGGGCAGAGAGCTGGGTGGACACAAGCCTCTGCTCTTTGGAGTCTCCTTTCCCTGTCATGCAGAGGCCAGGTCTATACATTAATGATCTGCCATCAGCTACAAGTTCTCCTCTATGAAAAAATCTCCATTCTTCAGTGCGACATGCCTGAAGATGGACAGGCATTAAACCAGGCAAAAATCTTTTGACTGCAACATACATCAATGCAAAAAAGGTTTGCTCATCCAGCTAACCCAACAAGTTCTCCAGCCAAGGCCTTAGAAGCTTTACATTTGCAAGTTGATGTATCCCCACATTGGCCACACACAGATTTTTAAAGGAAAAATAGCTCCTGCTTTTAATTTTGGTAGAGATTCTTCACAGACTGCCTTTCCTTCAACTGATCTGGGTGTGGGATGAAAACAAGTCCCTGTAGTCTTCTGGTCATGGATACTGTGCGACTGACTAAAGAATACTCCAGTCTGATCTCCTACAGTACAGTGTAAGGGAAAGGTAATCCATCAGGAGCAGCTGAGTTGGGTTCCTTTCAGTTCTGCATTGGTTTTATACCATGCTTAGTATAGTATCTGGGCAACTCATTTCTCATTCAGAAACTCAGCAATGAACTGTCTCCTTCAATCACAGCAATGTCTTATAATTTTCCCACATCTTTGATGCTTCTCACCATTACATTAGAGTTTAAAAATCTTCACCACTGGTTTATAAAACTGAAAGGTTATACAGTATGCAATATGGTCTTCTGGAGGAAAATTCAGTTAGTAGTGTAAAAGTGCTTCAAGGGAAGTTTCTCACTCATGTCCACAGAACTGAGCAAACTACTGGTACAGAATTGCTGCTGTGCTGGCAGGTACGGCTGGGTCCATATCCAAGATCTGTGGCAGACGAGCAAAGAATATCCTGCTCATGTGTGCCATCAGCAGGGCAAAGAAGAGTCTGCAGACCAGGACTAAGAGTATCCTGATTTTAGAAAAGGAAGGGACCACAGAAAGAGCAAGAGTGTCCTATTCCAAACCTCCTAAAGATCTTCTCTTTGCAAAGATGTAAGTCCAGTTATTAACAGGCAGTATCTCCTTTTTCCCCACTGCAGGCTTGTATTTTCTAGGAATAGCCATACCCTCCTCATTCTTCCAGGCAGAAGACAAAACTAGCCAACAAAGTTTCTGTACATCTGCTATGGACAGACACCAACTTGTGACCTACAGCAAATAGTAAGCATTATGAGAGATAACTCCTCATCGTTAAGGGGAGCATGAGGAAATCACAAGTGCCCATTCTTTCATCACATGACCTTTGACCAGCTATTCATAATCCCCTCACCGCTCCACGTGATGATACTTAACAGTACCTTTTTAAAAGAATACGTAATTCTCACTCATGCACTAAGTGCTTTGAAAACCTCAGATGATTTTCATAACCGTAAGACAGCACATTACCTTAACAACTGCTTCTCCACTTATATTTCCAGTTCTTCTGCTTTGCAATGCTAGATTATATGTAGATTTCACATACACTTTTCAAGACAATCTGTCAGTGATCTTCCAGAACAGAAGCTACATGGAGCTTTCATATTTCTGTTACCCAAGAGCCTTTTCTCAAGAGGTGAAGAATACATTCAATCTTCCCCCCAATTCAATCTCGCCCACGCTTACGCTCCAGGCCAACTTTACACATGGGAATAGTCCCATTGTAGTCAATGGTACTACTCACAGAAATGAAATTATCCCTGTGCATTCACTGGAATAGCCTATAATCGTTACCTATACAATGCCACTGCTTAGCTTTGCAAAAAAAGTATTCAGAACAGCTTATCTGCAAGAAAAAGGAGGATACTAAATACGCTTAATGCTCAGTATGTGCCCACTGCAATCTTCTATCATCTCTATGCAAGTTCATTTATGAGGTATTTTGCTCCTTTCTAAACATTCATATTTTTGCACTAAAAGACAATTCCTAAGAAGTCAAGATGTCTCAATTCCAGTTTCTGTGAGTCTTGTGCATCCCACACTGAATCATCATTTCTTTTTATTGCTTGTTTCAGAAACGGAAAATGGCAAGATGGAAAGAAAACCCATAGGGATGCAAATGCAACAAGCTGCCAGGGTCTTAGTGTGCTGCCTGCTTTCTCAGAGCTGT